CTAAAGGATCTATCATGCATTATATTTATAAGGTGAAAAAAAAACACAGTTGTGAATATTTTAAGAAAAATATGCAACTAGGAACCACTACTATGAAACCCATCAAGAGTGTAGATAGTCTTTTCAGGAGAAGCACGGTGACTGGGACAAACACAGGTCTTCATGTGTCACTGGCTAAATGGATGTGAATGAATTAATGGAATAAAGTTATTCATTGCTTCAATAACTAGGGATGTTAACTGCTCTCTCCTCATCACTAAATAACATGAGGATTAGGAAAGAGAAAATGTGCTTTATGTTTCCCATCTACTCTATCGTTTTTTGGCAACCCTCACTTTGAATCTGAAAAAGTGAGCAAAGGAAGAGGTCCAAAGGGAACAAGAGTTCAAATTCCCAGGACATTTTTATTAGGTATATATGAAAGGAAAAGATGTCTTCCAGTTCTGAAGTATGAGTTATGGAAGCAGCTTCCTTTCTTTATAAAACACGGTCTAAAGTTTGAAGGAGCAAAAAGAAAACTATAATCACTCAGACTTGAATAGATTATTTTAAGGAGATAAGCTCAATCATGAAAAATATGTATGTTAAATATAAAGGAAAATCCTTGAAATTAAAAAGTAATCTTTCTTAAACACTTTCATCAAATTATCATTTTCGTATTGAACTAACATTGTACACTAACTATACATACCACCCTGGTCTCAGATATACCAGGGGACACCTGGGTGGTGCCGTCAGTTCAGCGTCTGACTCTTGGTTTCAGCTCAGGTCATGATCTCAAGGTTGTGAGATGGAGCCCCGCGTCGGGCTCATGCTTAGCACCAGAGTCTGCTTGACTCTCTCTCTGTCCCTCTGCCCCTCCCCCCCATCCTCTCTTTCTCTCACCGAAATAAAGAAATCTTTGGGGAAAAAAAATACCGGAACAAAGTCTTTTTTTTTTCCCTTTCAGGTAAAGAAGGCATTTGGAGGAAAAGTGAATTAGTACTGATTTTATAGGACTTTGCCCTCTAAGACTCCAGTGCATGGGCTAGGTTCTTCCAGAGTTACACAAAGCTTGTGGAAAATAGCACTAAAGTGAGCCAGCTAGCTATATCCTAGTTTTCATTCTCTATCAGGTCAATTTCTGTTTTTCTGTATAAACAAAGGAAGAGGGTCCGAAAGGACCTTTTTTGGTCCTTTTCTATTTTGAGAGTCCCAGAATCCTGTTTATTTTCAGGTGCGCTAAAACCACACCAATTCTTATCTGGCCTAACACATTTTTATTCATTTGTGCTATTTGGCCTATACAATATTAATGCTTCCTGTTTCACAAACACATAAGCACAGAAAAATAAACAGTAAATACTAAATAGTAGCAAGAGAAATGTAAAAAATAGCACTTGGGGCTGTTCTAAGAGCTTTCGTTTCACGATTGTAAGCTCTGCAACAACCCAGGACAGCAAACACCGTCAGCATCCCCAGGACAGAAATGCCAAAACAGAGACACCACAAGGGGGAAAGGAGGGCCCAGGTTGTGGCTCAAAGACCACGGTCTTTGTCTGTCTGTCTCCAGAACCCAGGTGCTTCACCACTGCACAATGCCATTTCTTAATCTTATTTTTTAAGATTTTATTTATTTATTTGTCAGAGAGAAAGAGAGAGAGAGCAGCAGAGGGAGGAGAAGCAGGCTTCCCGCGGAGCCAGGGGCCCGATGTGGGGCTCGATCCCAGGACCCTGAGATCATGACCTGAGCCGAAGGCAGACGCTTAACCATCTGAGCCACCCAGGCGTCCCCACGATGCCATTTCTTAAGCACTCAGTAAGAAGTATTTATTTGTAGTAGTATTTTCACAATGAACAGTGGTACCAAATACTTAACAGTTCTACAACCCATTCTCCTAATTCTATTGACCCTGTCACTTGTTACTCTTCCTCTTATTTCTCTATAAACATGACATTTTATTATATTTTCAAATGGACTTACTCTATTATTCTTGTTTTGAATTCTAACATAATCCTAATTATTATTGACTGAGCTAATATAATATATAAAGACTGTACTTAGCTATGGCTCATAATTTTTACGCAAGGGATTACAATGGAGCAACATCTCCTACTAGGCATGCCTTGACGTCATCTTTATACTGCACTGCTCCCTGAATCACAAGAGAAGGCAGAGGCAAGCATTTGATTCCTAATTATGGTTAAATATTATCGTAGTGCTTCATCAAAATGAATTTGCAAAGGGAAAAATGGACTAGACCATTTCAGTACACATTTCGACCTTTGTGTTGATAACTAAATAGTTTGAATTTAAGCTTCCAGATACTTAAGTAGATTCTCACTTTGGAATGTTTTTATAAGACTGTGTTATTTCATGAATGCTACCTTTTTAGAAATCTGAAGGGAATAAAAAGGGCAAGTGTTCTATTCAGAGAGCTAATTTCTAACTAATAAGTAACAAATTTAATAATAAAGACAACCTAAGAAGAGCCTGCCACTCAACAGTTTAATGGATGTTCTGAAGTACTTTTCCCTAAAAAGGTATTTTGGAGACGTTTTAAGAACTGTCATTAGCTATCCTTCTGTGTCCTTATGCAATCTGCAGAAGGTGTGCATATTGGGTCCGCAAATGTGCAATAGTATGAACAAGATATGTGTGTGTGTGTGTGTGTGTGTGTGTGTGTGTGTACATGCCCGTAAGTAAATCCCCTCTCCCAAGAACATATTCTCCCTTCCCAAGAATCATATGGCTAATTTTGAAAAAAATATGTTTTTGGCCAAAATTCTGGAACAAGAGGGTAAAGGAACATCTTCTCAAAGCCAGTGGAGGTGGCTGGTCCTCATGCGGCAGTGGGCATCCTCCAGATCTTTGCTCTCCTCCCCTTACTTCCCGTGATGACTCCTCAAAGGTCAGAAAAAGCAGTACATCCTTTGCTGTTCTCACCCCACACACATACCATGGCACTGCAGCTGCCTGTCATTTCCCCGTCTCTGCTAAAATATCGGGTTTCTGATACTAGAGAGAGGCATGCTGGGAAAGCTGCTTATTCCTAGGAAGGCCGAGCCCTGGATTCTGCCACATTTCAATCAGGTCATGTCACAAGTCCCCAGGGTCAGTTGTGGACACTGGGAAGATAATGGCCACCTCTCGTGGAATGTTTACTATGTGTCAAACACTGAACATAATATTATGTAATTTAGTCTTCATGACAACACAAGAGGAAGGTGCCAGTTCTCTGGTGTAAAAGAGGATGTGAAACGTAGGGGTTAGTAAGTAAGGGAATGAGATTTGAACTCAGGTCTTTTTGTGTCTAGAGTCTGCTGACTAGTTGATATTATTATCTAAGAAGAGAGTGTTAGACAAAGTAGGAGAACTCAAGCTGTATCTCTCAGTTTATTTCCAAAATCAAATCTGACCATATGAACCACAGCAAGTTCTTTCTCTCCATTCTTACGCAGAGGTTAGAAGTGATTAGAATGTATGCCTGCTAAGTGAGAAAAAGTCTACAATTTAACATAAAAGGGGCAGATGCAAACTGAAGCAGGTTTGAACCCAAATCACAATTTAGAGCATCTCCAAAGTATTTTTAAAATAACTCTGTTAAAAGGTAAGGTAACAAACAGTACTTTGTACACTATACTATTATCCTTGACTCAACTGTGATAGAACTTTCAACATGATGTCCATGGCACAAACTCTATTTTCATGGATTTTGCTAAGTACAAATCCTTATATTAGCAGAGACTGTTTATGCAACAGGGCTTGTGTGGAACTGTCTAACCAGTATCTGGATCAGTTTATATTTTAGTAATGATGTTTTATACATAATATGGATTAGATATGTTTCATTTTTATATGAAACTTTTAAATAGAGAATATATAAGCACAAAAAACTTAGAAACAAGTAGGTAAATATGCTGTTATTCTGATGTGTAAACTCAGAAACATAAAAATCAATGTCAGAGAATGAGGTAAGGAATCCTGATGAATATTGTGAAATTTGGAAATACTAGTCCCTATTTTTTCAGACCTGTCTAATTGTTCTTTCCATGTTTCCCAGTAATTATACAAAGCCTCCTCTTTTTATTTTCTCTTACTTAATTTGTTTAAACTACAGCAGAACTTTATACATTGACATTAAACAATTATCTTCCCATCAAAATTATTTTAAGAACCCTACTCTGGGAATTACACAGGCATGTTGCCAATTTATCCATGTAATGTGAGGGAGAAAAAATGCTGTTAACATTTTTTAAAGTCAGGAAACTACTGTTAAAGCCAGAAAAATACAGAAGTATTGTCGTTTAACGGGAACTTTGTTTCATGTCACAGCATAGACTCCTGCCAGAATTCTATGCTATATAACTACTTATATTTTGATTTTCAGCAGATGTAGTCAAAGTTGACAACATTCTTCTGTGAATCATTAGAAAATATTTTCACTGAAAACATATTCTTGATTTAAAACATAAGTGGCCTCATGCGACTTTTTTTTTTTTTTTCTTTCTCAACAGCTTCTACCAACCTGTTTTTAACTCCCTAACTTTCCCCACCTTTCCGCACCACACACCAACATCTTGATCTGGTGAACTAACCAGATAATGAATAATACTGAGTATCAGTTTCTCATAGTTATCGTCTACTTGAAAGAAGGAGAAAAACATACTAAAGTACTAGTTGAACAATAGTAATTTCCTTCTGTCCCTACTGCTTCGTTAGAAATAATTTATATGTGTTCCAAATTACAATCATAAAGAGTAAATTATGACATAAACATGCTTGGTGTGACACTGTAAAGAATTGAGCATGTATAAATTATGCCCAGAAAATCCACTAGCAAAGCAAACGGATTTCCTGGGATACTGACCTGGATTCAGCATGACCTGGTGTAGGCACGAGCTGGCCCAAGCTACCACTCCTCGAAACAGAACAGCAGAAGACTACAGACCTTGGAAGGCACACATTTGGCCAAAAGATAAATAACCATGTAGTTAGCTGTGTTATACCTTATACTTACTTAACTATCATCCACGTGCTTTGTGATTCATCTTTAAAGAGATCCAATCCTTCTATACCAGCTGCATCAGCTAAAATAACCCTGTGCAGGTTTCTTGTCTTTGCCTGAATTTCACCAGTTGCAACAGGGGATGAGATTTTACAAAATATGTTTTAAACTGCAAATTGGCTTTTTTTTCCCCCCTTCTTTTTGGAAGAAGCCATATCAGAACTTTCTTCAGGAAACTGACCTTTCTCATTCTACACTGTGGACAATTTACTCCCCTCCCACCCCTGCCCACCCAAAAATGTCCTCACTTTTAGTGAAATTCTGGACTTCACTGATTTAGAATCTTTCCCAAGTTTTTGAACAAACCTTCTATAGCATGCATGCAAAAGGAGCAATTTTAAGACAGAACTTTGAAATAAGAAACACATGTCAGCCTGAGAAGTTCTAACTCTTACTACTGACAATATCAAAAGAAAAGCCAACTGGGTAAAAGTAACATGAAGAAAAGAAGTAGCAGCTGAATAAATCAGACTCCCTAAATATGAAGAAATGGAAACCTGTCCTAATAGTTGCTCAGAGAGAGTTCAACCAACTGATCCAGCTTCAATGTGGATACGAAAATTCAATTTAATGAAAATCTACTACATAAAAGTTCTGTTCCCTTAAGAAAAGGAATAAGACTATTTAGAAAGTAAAAACAAAATAAAGGAAAACAAAAAAACCCACTAAAAATACCCGAAATAAACTAGTCTCAACAACCTCTTCACCCTTACCATACACACAGAATCAATTCACATGCTTTGTAAAACCAGTTTGGTCACTCCTGGAATTACAGAGATGGGACACAGGCATTCCTTTGCTATTCATCTGATTCTTAACCTGAAGACAAGGCCTACATTTTGCACCATCCTCTCTTTTTTTTTTCCAATTTTATTTAGCAGCCATCTAGCAGCTTTAATTAAATGGACCTCAATGCATGACCACAGGGGAAAAGACACACAGAAGTATGCAGGGTGAGAAATTTGGTAGCGTACCATCTGCGCAAGCAAAATAAATCAATTCTAAAGCCTTTCCAACTCCTGTTTCAAGTAAATGATAAATCAAGAGGAGGATATCAATATTTAAAAGCCAACTATTTCTAAGATTCCTCAATGATCACTAATTTCCACTGCATGAAGAAAAAAAAACTTTTCCATGAAGTAAAATTCAATTTTATAAAAATTCATATGCTCTAATATCAAGAATTTGTTCAGTGGAATGCAACGGGTAGACCGGAATGGAATGGAAAGAGTGAAAAAGCACTGAACATATAATCTCTGAAACCTCCCACTGCTCATCCTCCATTGTCAGGAATGTTCCTTGAAATCTGGCTGTAGAGATTATTGACTCTATCTAAGCAGCATCAACAACTCAAATGATGTTATTGGGATACTGACCTTGAGTTGTTTTTCTAAGGTATTGATGGGTTGTGCTCTGCTGTCTATACTTTCACACGGATGCCCTTGTCCCAATGTCAAGTGTCTGTGAGAGCCATTCTGGGGTTAAATGTCAGAAGCTATAGATGAGAGCTCTTTTTTCCAGCAAAGTTGAGTGACTCATTCTGGGCCCTGGGAAGGCTGGCTTCACTAGCACCAATTTCTAAGCCTTGTATTTCTTAAATTTCTCTTAGTCCACCAGACATATGATGTTTTAGGATACACAGTAGCCTCCTCTGACCACAATCAGGCATCTACTGGGTACCTGGGGAATGTCTGAAACCAGGCCAGGAAGTTTGGGGTTCTCACTTCCACTGGAGGTGCTACTTAGAGGTGGAAGAAGCCAGGTTAGGACAATCGTGCAGTGTGGGGGGCAGTCCTGCATAACAAAGAGTTGACTCTTCCAAATCCCCCCGTGGAGAAACATTGGTGGGTCACCCACACTTCCAGTCACATTGTACACATGCACCTCATGCTTCCTCCCCACCATGGTTACCATCAGTGCTTCTCCTGACAAGGAAGCTTAGGATAATTATACCCCCAGAACACATACGGCACGTTATGTTTAAGATGTCGATTCAGTGCGTGTGTGAGCTACAGTGGCCTGCTCTGTCTCCCACTCAGTGTCAGACACCATGCTCCCTTCTAACGCCAACAGCCTGCGCCATGACAGCTGCTGCATGGAGGGCATAGTGCAGCCACCTGGACGTTCTGCCAAACCACACTTGTCATCTCTTTCCGAGGCACTAGCATGATATCTAACATCCCCCATTAGCTGGGACTCTGGATCTCCCATCAGAAGAATAACAGAAAACGAGAGAACGGGCCACGTAGGGGAGATAAATAATAAAGGGTCACATCATTTCCTGTAATAAGACTGTGCACGTTCTTGAAAAATTAGTATTACTTTTCAGAAGCATGGCCTTTCTCTCAATTTATCCCATGACAGAATGCAACAGAGGAGCACCCTATTTAAGTCAAGCCTATAAGAAAACAGAAAAATTATTTCCCAGTGACCTTTTATTTCAAGAAGCACTTTCACATGCTGTGTTGCTTTAAAGACAAACGTGCAATGCCCCTAATAAAAGCCATCCTAAGAAAGGAAAGAGAGGAAGACAGAGAGAAAGGGACAACAGAGAAGGAGGGAAGGATGGCGAGGGAGAGAGCGATTGTTACATTTCTACTTTAGAAAGTCTGGTAAGGGCATGAGCATTTCGTTCGAGTAACTGTAAAACTTATCATGAAAACTAGGATTTTCCTGAAAGTAGAGCATCTCTAACCAGTTCCAGAGCAGACACAGGAACAGTGATGTAAAGTGGGACTGTACTTGGGCCAAGCTAGGATAGAGTCCTCCTACTTGCTACAGAAAGTTTAGAGGTCTCTCTGAGATTCGACCTTGTTTACAAATGGTATTTGTGAGCCTTATTAGTTATCATGTGGCATACTGTAATGAGAATAATGTAGATCCAGACATAAAGAACTTTTCACATACAAAAATATGTAATAACTTAGCTGCTTATTCATTCATCCATGTGTATAATAAATATTTACTGCTTTCCTACTATGTGCCAGGCACTATGCTAGGTACCTGAACTGGGTTGAAAAAAATCCCTAAATGATCCACATATTGAGTTGCTCCTATTAAATGTGAAAAAGAAATATTTCTACAAAACTTCAGCTATCTAGGGCCTTCAAGGTATGGTCATTAGCATTTAGTCAAATTGTCTGGGTGGCTGAGATGTGCGTCGTTTTAAGCAATGGCACATTCAATATGGAATTGAATAGAAATATTCAATTCTCTATAGAATTAATTCCCCAATGTGTTATGGTGCTAAACATAACTTCTCCTTAGATAGTCAAGGTGATCAGACCTGATGAGAATGATTATACAGTACTAAGGCATGCAAATCCCCTCAGGAATTGCTAAAGAATATAGGACTTCTAGCATTAATGCCAAAACAGCCCACATGGCTCAGCATTTTGCATTCTTACGTTTATTTTTGTTTCCTTTTCATTGTTAAACTGTCATTTGTCAGTATTACAGTGATAATATACCTTATAGGACAATATGACATTATCTCCACTTTACAGATGAGAAACTTGGAGGCAGAGAAGTGAAGCAGTTTGCTTGAGCTCAAACACCTGGGATTCTAACTCAGGCAGTCCACCACATTTGCCTACCCTGCCATGTAAGCAATGCCACATCTACCTTAATAAGACATGAACTTGAAAACTTTAGAATTATGTAAGGGAAAATATGCATCTGAGAAACGCAAGCCTGTGAGTTTGGGGAAATCAACTCTATGACACCTAGACTTGTCATCAGGCATTTTTCTTTCTCTGTAGTTCACAGATATGCCTGTGTAAGCGAAGTCTGTCGGATAACTCAGTTTGCCAAGTTCACTGAGCCTTGCAAATTAATTACAATGAAAATGAAGGCATTTTTACAATATAATCTCATATATATTTTGTCCAATTATTCTTAGGTTGGATATTTTCTCATGAGAAATTTAGACTTTTAGGAAAAGTAAAGTTTAATTTTAGTTACGTGAATTTAAATAAAAAGGCAGTTCTTTGGTACAGTAACATGCCAGAAAGACATCAAGTATCAGGTGATAGAAATTTATAAAACACATGAACAAAGAACCCATTCAACTATTGGCTTATTGAAAAGCAAATGAGAACACTGTGTAGGTTGCTAAGACAACAGAGATGTGATGATTAACTGTGAGATAATGAGCAGATCTTTGTGTCTTTATGAATCCAATTTTTGGAATCTAAGCCCTCCTCTGTGTATACATAACTAAAATTTTAAGAGTATTACTTAAAAAAAAATGCCTTCAGGCTTTTGAGGTCTGCTGGTGAAGAAGCTTGCAGCCTTCTGCTCAGGACAGAGCCCTTGTCGTGGAGGATGTGTGCGGTGGGGCAGAAAGAGGTGTTCCTGGGCGCCTGGGTGGCTCAGTTGGTTGGGCGACTGCCTTCGGCTCAGGTCATGATCCTGGAGTCCTGGGATCGAGTCCCGCAT